ATATCTTACACCTTGAATAATATCAATATCAATATAATAATATTTCTAAAATATTTACCACAGCTTCTGATTTAAAGATATGGCTTCCTTTAGAAAATAAATCTTTTACAAAATTATTTCATATACGAAAAGATCTCTGGAATGTGGATGGATCCGAAATCCGAAACCTCTGGAATTCCGCATGCCGGCGTTCATGGAATAAAGGGATTGTCGGGAAAAGATCATTTAGTCGGCACTCCCTCGCAAAATTCGTTCAGCACTTTTGCTTCCCCTTTTCGATTCTTGTAAGTAAGCCCAGCCAAAGAAGAGGAGAATTAGCTATGGAACAGGTACAAAAGGTACGAAAATATCCCGTACTTGTACTCGTACTTCGCTGCACACACATCCGTTTAAATTGTTAAGCATATTGTGCCACATAAAAGAACAAAAGGTGTGTGCAGGTGTGTGTGTCTGCGTGTGTGGGTACGTGACTCAACGGAGAAGTATTTGTATGTATGCCGGATTCTCTTGTTTTCTCTGGAGAATCGAGAGCCTTGCCCCAAGATTGGGATGTAAATCGAAATCGAAGCTGGAGCCTCAGGTGAGAACATATTACCATCGAGCATGAATCAGGGATCTCCAAAAGAGAAAGACGCAAAGAGAGAAAAGAGGAAGAGAGGGAAAATCCATTTTGGGGAAGATAACAGGTAGGAAACTATCTACTATTTACCGTCTACCTTCAGAGCTCAAAATACAAATAATAATACCACCAAGTTATTATGCAACTCACTGCCTTACTCTAAAGTTGGTCTGATTTTGTGGTTATTATAACCCTATTAATATCTGAATAATTTGTATTTTGTATTATCCTGATGTTTAAAGATTGATTTGAACTAATTTTGAAGCAACCTCATTCAGCCGGGTCGATTGCTGACCACATTGATTACCACAGACACAGTCCGCTTAATTTCCTTTTGCCGTTAAGCGTAATTATTTAATTTCCGTTCGAGAGGCACTTGCCACTTGCTACTGGGTCAGCAATTAAAAGTGACTGGGCCAATTAAGACTACACGGGAAAAAAGGAAAGATTATCGATTGCAGATTGTCATCTTGAATGATCTCAGATAATAAGATCAGTTGTATGAAATGTGTCCTCTATTTGGCAAGTTAATTATGACGGTATTTTTAGAGCATCCTTTTAGGCGCAGTATTAGTGGTTATTTAACCTAAAGAGATTACTGAAGTTTGTGTAGTATAATATTTTTTCGATTTAGTTTTTGTACAACTTAGTTGTGGCATATGTACATATACACTATATATTTTTAAGAATCCCACATTATTGTTTATTGGGTGAATTTTCAAAAAAAAATATATGCCCCAACTTTTGAATATAACCGTAGACTCCCCTTTTGGCTTAATTTTCGTTTGTTTTCGTTGCTCTTTCGCTGCCTGGCGATCCCACGAAAAGGCACAGGCTAATGACGAACGAAGTGAAGGAGGAAGAGGATGAGCAGCGAATGGGGTGGAGAGAGAGAGAAGGGCCAACAGGTAACAGGTAAGATAGAGAAGAGACAATCTCACACACAAACACTCGGCGAACAAAAGCAAAACAAAAACAAGAGGCAAACAAAACGTTGATTGCTTGGCTTACCTGTCGAAAAGAGAGGGAGAGAGAGAGAAAAGTAAGGAGGGGTAAAGCAAAAGAGAAGCTCCAAAGATACTGATACAAAGATACAGCAACAAGCATCCTCCAAGATACAAAGATACAATCAACACACTTAAGCCGAGTGTGTGTGCGTGTGTGCATCCACATTTCTATATACGTTTGTATCGTCTAATGTATGTATGTGTGTATGTATCCCCATCACAGATGCCCAGAGTTATTATAACGGATTTATCTCAAGTTACAAGCGTGTGCGCTTGTATGCCACACATGGCAACACAAATATGATTTTATATTTCCCAGTATATATTTTTCCAACTTTTTTATGCGCTTTACTTTTAGTTTGTTACTCTACAAATAACTCGCAAGTCCTTCGGGCTCTTGGCTCTTATTCTTGAACTATTTTGCTCTCGTTCTAACACTACAGTTGAACCTCAGTAAACGAACTTCAAGTTCAAAAACTTAAAGATGCATATGTAACTATTATTGTTTTCAACTTTATGTTCTGATGTCTTTGAGATTGTTAAGATTTTTTAGGAGAAAACCCTTTTAATATATTTTCAAGGGCTCAACACATTTGATTTATAAAAACTCTACTGTATTTCGAGGGCATTCTGCTGCTGTTGTTGCTGCATGTAGGCCATTATTTTTGTTGTTGCCAAGGCTGCCGCCTCATAACGACAGGAAATTAATGATTTAATTACATTTTTGGCTAGCCATCTGAGCAAGGGAGATGTCCGTAGACAGAGACAGAGATAGAGATTAGTTAATGGCGGCACCTTTAATTGATTTTCCTCGGCTCCCATGGGAAAGTGACCAGCTTGATGGCTCCTTTTCCCCCTTTCCCCTTTCCCTTCCCCTTCCCCGTTAACCGTTTCCCCTATTCTGAAACGAATCCCCTCTCTGTTTTTATATTTTCTCTAATTCCCAAAGTCAAGTCCTACCTCAACGAAGCCGCAGTGGAGGCATAGCGAACTCGAACTCGAGCTCGAAAAGAACAACAAACGTTCGGCTGAAAAAATGCTGCGCATGCGCGTGCCCAGAATTTATAAACCAAACCCCGATTCCGCGATTCCGCGATCCCAAGTCTGGGGTCTGAGGTCTGAGGTCTCCAAGTCCAAACGAGAAACTGCAGATCCGAAACATGGCTCGCATGCCAAAGAAGAATCGAGCGGAATTCTCCAGACGTCTGGCTCATACAGTTTTAGCAGCGTTGCTTTTTAGGTAACACTACTTCGATACTCATTTATATTAACCACTTATACATATATTGTAATTTAAATAAAAAGCATATTCCTCTAAGGAATAACTCTTTAATGAACACAAAATGTAAATAATCATTGCAAACCGAAAGCGAATCTTTATTATTATCAGAAAATCCCGACTACTCGTACACTTGACTTTCCCATTCGACCAGACAAAAAGCCAAGAAAGAGAAATGTCATCGAGCATTGATTGTTGTCAGCCGATGTCGATGTCGATGTCAAGACGAGTGGATTCACCAGGGGATTTGGAGGGGCACACGGATCCGATTTGAGGGGCTCCAGAGGGGGGCGGAGTACTACGTGCATCAGTGTGACAGTTTGGCAGGCAGCACAAATGCACAGCACACAACTACAACTCGTAGATAATGCACATCAAGTGCAATGCATCGCCATATCAAGTGTCGTCAGCAGGGGCGTGCCACAAAGGGGGTTTTTCGTTATACAAATGTGTATGTGTGTGCTAAGACAACATTAGTTAGTTCTTTATTAAAATCTGTAAAAGTTTAACGTGAGTATCATTTCAATTTAGAACTTTTTTTTGGGAGACCCTAGGATTAAGTCAAAAGTAAGGGCTGTCCTTATTTAGAAAACAGCATAAAGTACTCCAAAAATCGCCTAATTTATGTATAATGTCTGGGGTCAAATGGCAGACCCTTTTCGGGCACGCCACTGGCCATCATCATCATGGTCGGTCATCAGCAGCGTTTGTGGGCTGTCACTGTCTGCAACTGATTAGTCAGCAGGTTTTCAATTGTGGACCCTCCGAAGGGGCGGTAGTGGGAAAGGGGGAGGGGGAGAGGGGGAGACACAATGGACGCCGAAAGAGGACACCGAGGCCATTCGAAGAGAGCGAGTCAGCCGGAGGGGTCATCATCGTGGATTGACCACAAACTGACCTGCAAAACGGCGACCCCATCGGCCTAATTGCTAAAGCACCCCCCCCCCCATCAATGGCCGCCAAACTGTGCAATCGCCGCCAAACTGCCAGCGCTCTGGCAGCCAGAAACGAAAAAATCGATTAAAAATTTATAAATATTCATCGCCGGGCGAGGAAAATAACTCGTTAATTAATAATGAGCATAAAATGAAAGCGCGCGTGCTTAAATGGGGCGTTGAGGGGAGCTTTACGAGGATGCTGGCTTGACTGATTTACACTCTTGGCCAAAAATGTGAAACTCTTCTTTTAAATACTATGAAATTAAATTTGTATATGTTTTGTTATTTTGTAAGGAGTTTTTTCCTCTCATATATTTGAACAAAATGATGAAAAATAGTTACCACAAATAGAAAAAATAACTATAAATACTATTTACTTGCAAACTGCTGTTGATGTGCATAGTTTTCCCGCTGAAGGCAAAATCACAACAGGTTCGTTTGGCAAGGACGAAAAGCGAGGGACGGAGTGCTAGTTCTGGGAAAAATGTGTGAAAAATGTCAGCGATGGCCAAAGGCGGAGCGTGAACAGGGATGCGGATGCGGATGCGGATGCGAATGCGGATGCGATACGAGTTCGAATAAGGATGTAAGGATGCGAATGCGGATGCGGATGCAGGACGGAGCTGCTCCTGCCACTGCGATCCAGCCAGGTGGAAAACCCAGCGAGCAGCGAGCGAGTAAATAAATAAGCAGTCATAAAAACTCAGCTAGCGCAGTGTGTGTCAGTGCATTTGGGTGTGTGTAAGCCACACATGTTGGTGGGTATTTCCGCAGCGCGAAAAATTCCATTCAAGCCGGAGGGCCAACGTGGTGCTGCGACCAGTAGCAAGTAGCAGTGGCAAAAGGAACAACACGGAGTGCCGAGGAGCGGTAATAAATGCTTCATAAAATGCAAACACAGATACAAAAGCACACACACCAACAACCAGCATATTGGTTGGTGTTGGTCAAATAAATCAGCGGACAAACAAACGAAAAATAGCTGTTTGAGAAGCACTGAGCCCAAAAGGCGCCTGCGGGTTAGGCTTCTCAATTTGACTCAATGATCATTTAGCAAGGACGCAATTACTCGAAAACTGTTTATAGCGTTCTATTCTAAATACGAGTATTATATAAATATTATCTAAATGCAAATATAAAACATGTTTTAAACTCACCCTCTGGGATCCTGTCGCAGACTCTGATCGCCCAGTAAAAGTTCTGTTCTTCCTATTGATATGCTACTTGTGGGGCTGTTCTGTTGCTGCTGCTGTTGCAGTTGCAATTGCTGCTGCTGCTGTTGCTGTTGCTGCAACTCGTAGGCGGCACTCAGCAACTGATGTTGCTGCTGTAATCTGCTGCTGCTGCTGCTGCTGGCGATTGCTGCTGTTGCACTCGTGTTGTATGAATGGACATCACTGGCTTGATGGACTATGACGTCTTCTAGTAACTGTGGACAAAACAAAAACGATTTAGTTAGCCACTTAAAAAGGTTAAAGGAATATAAATAAGTAAATAAATAAATAAATAGAACATCAGATGAGAATATAAAATTTAAAAATACATAAACTCATTGGAAACTGTTAAGCAAACCAAATGCATTCTCAATCATCTAATGCACTCATAAATTCAAACCAGAACCAAATAAACACTTTGCTAAACTCAACGACTAAAATCCTTAAAATGTAATTAAAATATATAAAGAAGTGATATAGAATTCTTGGAAAAATCAGAAAAGAATCGAAAGCAAGCTAAATCCATGTGGCACCAGCGCATTACCTCTCTTCTCGGTGGATACAGATTGTTCGATATCAGTAGATCACAATTCTTCATCAGGGACGCCGTTGTTGCCGCTGCCATTGAATTATTGCTATTATTGTTGTTGCTTAAAAGTAAATGTTGCTGTTGCTGCTGTTGCTGCTGCTGCTGCTGCTGCAGATGCTGCTGCTGCTGTGTGGCATTATTGTTGCTCGAGTGCAGCTGCAGTTCGGCGAAGGCCTGCTGCAATTGCCCGCTCGAGATGGCCGTGGAGTACTCCGTTTTCGGCGTGGTGGTGCCATGAACGTGCCGCTCCACCACCGCCGGTGGCGCCACCACCACATCCTGGTGGCCCACCATCAGCGGCGATGTGGACGTCTGGGCGTCCACGAAGCAGGGATTCACAGGACCTCCGAGTTGCAGTGGCGCTGGCACTGCCACACGATTCAATTGGCTGGACGCTGACGAAGAAGATGTTGCTGATGTTGCAGGTGGGTGGCTGTGTTGCTGCTGCTGTTGATGGTGGTGCTGCTGCTGATGCTGCTGCTGCTGCTGCTGCTGCTGCCGCTGCTGGTGGATCGCCGCTGTGGTGGCCAATGTGGCAGCTGCCGCTGGCAGGGCGGTTGTGGCAGGCAGCGTCGTCGTCGGCAACTGGGCGTGCTTGTTGTTGTAGCTGATGTAGGTGATGCCGCAGTAGTTCGCCCCATCCACATCGTCGTCATCGTCCAGATCCTCGTTGTCCACCTCCTCGGCCAGGTGCTGCAGGCTGCTGGCCAGCAGGGACTTCGCCTGCAGCGGCTTTCCCGCCGCCGCCGCCGCTGCGAGTTGCTGCTGCAGCTGCTGCAACTGCTGCTGCTGCGCCTGGCTCGTCTGGTAGATGTGCCCCGTGGCACTGCTCGTCGAACTGCCGGCGGTTGATGTTGTTGTTGCTGTTGCTGTTGCTGCCACACTGTTGCTGCCCAGGCAGTTGGCCGTTTGCTTCAGGGCCGCCGAGGTGGTGCTGTTGGCATTGCGATCGGCCGCCGTTGCCGCCGCCACTGCGGCACTCACCAGCGCCGATGCCCCGTGCTCGATCTGCGCCACCACGGTGGTGGTGTGAGAGGCCGCCGTCGGCACCGTGGTGGTGGCCGTCGTGGGCGCCAGGGAGGGGGCACTGATCGGCCCGCCGGCGGTGGCCGTCGTCATCGTGGAGCTGCTGCAGGTGATCTGGTTGCTCGTGAAGGACGTCACGTAGATCGGCGTCGACTCGTTCAGGAAGCTCAGGTCCTGCCGCTGACTCGTCGTCGTGCCGCTCTTCGTTTGCTGCAGCTATCCGACGGGCAACAGGAACGGGAACAGGAACAGAAGAGGCAAGGTTATTCAAAAGCCACTCGCCAATGTTCTAACTAAGGCGCTACAGTTTTAAAGGCGCTAAAGTTTTAAAAGCCTGCATAAAATGGCTAAAAATCATATTACTGCAATGGGAAAGGCATTTTCGTTCGTTTTTCTAGCTGCTTAAAAAAGTCTCATACCAGGTTTTGAAAAGTTGAAAAATATTTTTAATTATTATTTTTAATTTTTTCCAATTTTCGTAAGATATATTTCATTTCCCGTTAAGATAACTTGATTTTTAACCATTTTATGCAAGTTTTTCCAAAAGAAAAGTGGGAAAAAACGAAAATGTCGAAAAAAAATAATTTTTTTAAATTCGAAAAATCTGGTATGCTAGAAAAATGAAAGAAAATACCTTTCCCGTTGGGATATCATAATTGTTGGCTCATTTTATGAAGGTTTTACGGAAAAACCAGTGCGAAAAAGTTCTCTACAGAAGCTGTGTGGTTTGGTTGCATTTTGCAATACAGAGTATCCTTTCAGGAGGAATACCATATAGATTACCCCAAAGGATTGGCCAACTATTGGCCAACCTCGTTGCTGGCACTTTCAATTGACGCGGCGCAAGCGAAACGAAAAACAAATAAAAAGTGTAAACTGTCATCATTTAGCGGCGCTGACAGGCTTCGTTTCGCATATATGCAAATCAATCAAATTCCATTAAAGTAAAGCTAACCAGGTGACGCCCCCATTCCACCGCCCCCAGCTGCCATTCGATATGCCCTGCCACCGCCCCCCTGCCTCCCTCCCGGAGGAAGTCATGGGTTCATTGATGCTGTTCCCCTAATGAAATATGAATTATTAATGCGACGAACACATAATGGATGTGGATCTGAATGTGTGTGTGTGTGGTGTGTGTGTGTATGGGTGTGGGTGTGTCTGCGTCTGGGGCAGGTTAAGTATTCGCGTGGGTGGCCAAAACCCACTGGGCTGCACCCACAATCAGAATCCGCAGACACAGCCAGAACATATCCATACCCAACCAACCAGTGACTGTCAAACCGCCCCCAGAATCGGCCAATTAAGAAGCGATTGCGCGCCCTCATATCCCCATATTCTAGCCAATCCAATTGGCCTTAACCTTCTTCCGGCGGTTGAGTCGCGCCCTAATGCCAATAGCTAAGTGTCAGCAGCATAAAAAAAAAGTGAAAATAAATGAACAAGTTGAATTATGGGGCTCTTTTGATGCAATTACCTGAGGATGAGATGCCTAAGTTGGAAGAAAAAACACACTGAGCAGGGGGATCTCCACACCTAATGCTTGTGGCACACTCCCCACATCGCTCCACATCTCCACTTTTACCTCTGTACACACATATATATATATATACTTTTTTTTATAAGGGAACCACAGAGAATCGAGCGTTCGCCGTGAGCGTGTTTTTTGTTCGCATTTTATCGGATTATTGACAGCCAAGTCGGTTTGTCAGTCTACCGCATCGGCTTGTGGATTCTCGATGGCGGAGTGAAGTGCCGTGGCTTCACTCGCAGCTCCCAGTTCTCAGTTCTGAGTTTCCCCAGTTTCCCAGTTTCCCATGTACCATACATAGCACCTCCCATCTCCCAATGCCGCCCAAACCTCCTCCACCTACGCACTTCAACACTTATCGGATAAATCGATGCATATATACACAGCAAAAAAAAAAACACGATCCAAATTTAATTCAATCAAACTGGAGAAACCTTTCCCTGTAGCTGTAGATATATTGTATATATCACATTTTTGTATTGCAAAGCTAATTAATGTTGTAAACTATTCGTTGGCAACCAACAAGTAAACTAAAACTTCATAATTAAATTTAAATTAAATAATTTCTGCTTTGAGAAAGTTTCACCACTGAGGTTTTCAACAATTCAACAATAAATTAGTTGCTGAATTTTGCTGAAAGTTGGCAAACAGTAGACAACATTTAATAGTTCAGCATGTATACCCTTTAAACTATAAAAACGATTCAAATGCAAAGGTAAGTATGGAGTTACATAAATGTTTTATTTTTTATTAAAATAGTAAGGGAATTAATTCCAGTTTTTTTTGCAGTGCAGTGACATGCATATTCAGGTCTGTTTGTGTATGCAAAATCATTTGTTCGGTTGGCCTGGCAACAAACGATTGACTCACTGCTCTCGATAAAGCCCCGCAGCGCCACTCTAGCGCATCCTAGACAAAACCAACAGAAAAATACTGAAAAAAGCTGAAAAATCGGGAAAAACTGAAGAAAAAAAGTTGAAAAAAAAAAACACCCCACCTACGTACTACGTACTCCCGATGGAGTAACCCAACCCAGACCGAACCCAGATCCCCGGATTCGTAAAAAAAAAAACAAAAAAAAAAAAACAGGCGAACCAAAGCGAACCGCACCTGACCCCCAACCACTCGACGTCCGGGGAGCTGAAAGCAATTGTTGGAGCGTTCAACTGTGATGAGGATGATGACAAAAGCACTTGATGCGCTTAAAAATGCTGCCAGCATTCGGGGGAATCCAAATGGAGGAGGGCAGGGGGTGGATCGGGGGGGATCGAAGGGGGGTATCTAAGGGAAAAGGGGCAAGAGGCAAGAGGGGCTTCCATTGGACTTGGGTTTTTCGGCGCAACACTCGATGCGGTTTATGCGTGGCATGCCATTCATCCCATCAAAGTGACTCTCAAACTGCGCGGACTCGAGTCGAGTGACCAAATTATTCGGCCCAACAAATGCACTCCATTCAATCAATTTCGAATGCTGCTACTCAACTATAGCGAATTTACAAATAAAACCAACTAGAAGAGGTATTTCCATTGTGAGCACCTTTTAAGTAAATAAATTCCTTAACTTTAAGCTTATTATTTGGTAATTCATTATGAATTGATGAATCTAATTGCGATGATCTAATTGCGGGGAATACGCAAATCAATAAAAAACCATTGGAGCGTGTCTCCAGTAAATGAAATACATGTAATCGCCGCAATTTGCATTCAAATGATCCGCCATAAGTCATTTCATTCAGCACGATCTTTTGTGAACGAACTGTAAGCGAAACAAAACTGTGAATACGCACAGTGAATAGCTAATGTATTCATTTGTTGGCCAACAAAACAAACACCGAAAGAAAAGTACCCATTTAAAGAGAAAGTTTACCTAACTAAATGCACCATACATGCACTTTCCCTTTAATAAAAATATCATTTGTTTTATATCTAGATTATATATATATTATGTTTTAAATACAAGCTATTATTCAACTAAATTCCTACCAAATTCCTATCTTTATTTCAACCTTCTGGTCATTTCTCTCGGTGCAGCTAATCTGCGGAATCGAGATTATGTAACTTTAAAGGCGCGAATCGCTTTATGAGTCTCAAGTGAATACACTCACTCACTCGTCCGCTGGATTCGCACATGCGAATGGCAAATGGCAAATGGAAGTGCAGCGTTCACTTTCAATTACCCAGACATTTGTATTTGATTTGCATTTACTCTTTCCCTCTGCAACTATTTTCTTTTATTTTTTTTATTTATTTATTTATTTTCTCTGGCATATTTGTTGTGTTTCTTGTTTTGCGTAACTTTGGATGGCAATTTTATTTGGCTTTTGTTTTCAAGTTTATACAACGTTCGTTTTGAGCTCGCCTTTGTTTTTTGTTTCAGTTTCTGTTTCTGTTGGCACTTTTAGTTTCAGTCCAGTGTCCACTGTACTGGTCAACTGGCTGGTTGAATTTTTAATTGAATTTTGCCAGAGCACGCTTCCTCATTTTTTGCATTTCTCACCGTATGTTGTGTGTGTGTGTTGTCTTGTTTTTTTTTTTTTTTTCAGATTGGGGAGGCGATTTGGAGGGGGCTATGACCAATGGTCACTGGTCACTCGGTTATGCCAATAAAGTGGCGAGCCAACTGTGTTGCCCCGTGTGTGATAGAAAGCTGTTTTGATAAAACGTTTTCCATTTCAATTCAATTTCGCCACTCGCCACTCGCCATTCGATCCGAAGCAAACATGCAGCCTGCAAATAAATATGTGGCATTCATGTTTGCCCCACGGCCACATGCCGCACTCTCGAACAGAAGAAAATAGGAAAAACAGCGGCAAAAACAATAACTTGTAGCACTACCCGATTTGCCTTTTCATCCAACGATTATGCACTTCCAGCAGGCGAAAATCCCCGGAAGCCCCCGTCAATACAAAAAAGCAGGTGGAAAACCTTAAAATAGCACTGGAATTCCTCAACTTAATCTCGCTTTTAGCTGCGAACATGAACAGAATGCCATTCTCCTTCTGTTTCCCAACTGTTTCCCAAAATAGTTGGCCAGACATCACATCAATCGAATCGAATCGAATCGATTCAAGTGCAGCAGGTAACTCCAGACTGTGGACTCCAGACTCAAGAGTTATGAATTAACCAGCCAGTTTTTATTCAAATGGATTTGGTTTATGGTTTCTCGGACACTCGAAGTACACGTGTATTTGCCGAGCTTCGTTTTGAGTGCATTTTGAGGTATGCTGAATATTTATTGCCACTGCTTCCAGACATCTGTCTATAAAGCTCTTGAAATATTCACGCTAATTGCAAAGTTTTCTACTGAAATAAGATTCTACAAAAAAGTAGAAAAAGTTCCTGGTAAAACTTTTGGGAAACTCGTTCATTCTTTTAAAAAGAATGAAAAGTCTTTTTTGAATACGAAAAACCTCCCAAAAATTAATTGAAAAATTCCGAATAAAAATCTAGTAAGGGCAAGACTTATGTAGATATAAATATATATATTTTAGGTTTTCTACTGAAATAATATTCTACAAAAAAGTAGAAAATGATCTAGGTAAAAATTTTAGGAAACTCTTTCATTCTTGCTTTAAAAACGTGGAAATTCTTTCTTTTTTTTAAACAAAAAACCTCCCAAAAATTAATTTAAAAATTCCGAATTATGTAATACATATATGTAAATATACTCTTATGTTTTCTACTGAAATAATATTCTACAAAAAAGTAGAAAAAGTTCCTGGTAAAACTTTTAGGAAACTCGTTCATTCTTGTTTTAAAAACGTGGAAATTCTTTTTTAAATACAAAAAACCTCCCAAAAATTAACTTAAAAATTCCGAATAATTTAATATATGTAAATATATTCTTAGGATTTCTATAGAAATAATATTCTACAAAAAAGTAGAAAAACGTTCTAGCTAAAACTTTTGGGAAACTCGTTTATTCTTTAAAAAAGGAATGAAAATTCTGTTTTTGAATACACAAAACCCTTCCAAAAACTCCTTTAAAAATTCCGAAAAAAAATCTAGTAAAGCCGATAAGGTTCCTCTATCCCTATAGATATATCCCTGGGTCAAACCCCCTGGTTTACCGACGGTCACTCACCTTCTTGGAGAGCTGCGTGATGTCGACGGGCGTGACCCGGTTCAAGGCCGCCAATCTCTGCAGGCGCTCGCGGGCGTGCTCCTCGACGGCGATGACGAAGGCGTCCTGCACCGAGTTGCCAATATCCCAGGCTACAAGGAAGAAGAAGAAGAAGAAAAAAGGATAATTAATTCGGGAACATTAAGCACTTAGCAGGCAGCTTGAGTGATAGATAGAGTGCGGCTATTCGGTCGAAACTTGCCTAATTGCTGTGATCTGCCGAGCAGAAACGCCCCCAAAATCGATAGTTGTTTCACTCGGTTGATGAAAGGCCAACCGAACGAACAAACAAACAAAGAAACAAACAAACAAACAAACAAGCAAACAGAAGCAGCACATAAATCATAGTTGTAAAAGAGTCTTAAATAACATTCCGCTTGGCTAATTTCACTGCGATATTTGTGCGATTTAATGGCCACTTTTAATAGCTTCAAAATTAAATTCGTAACCTCTGTAGAGTAGGATTTAAAATTCTAATTGTAGTTTAGATACTTTATGTAGTTACTTCCCGAAAGTAATTATGGTGTATATTTAAGCAAGATACAAAGCAAGCTGTTCGGGTTCCCAAGCTACACAAATACGAGACGACGAGTGAACTCAGAGGACACAAAACTACTCTAAATTGCAAGCCGCAAGATTAAGGTCCCACTGATACCGTCTTATCCTTCTGCTCCGCAAACAAAACAGAAAAAAAAATCCACAAGAGAGGAGCGTTTGCTCGTTTTTATGCTGAATATTCTTTGCAGTTCGCTGGGAAAGCCGGCAGAATCGCCGTCGCCTGTCGTCGTTTTGGGAATTTATGGCACTGACCTAAGCAATGATTTGAGCCATGATGACAGCCATCATTTCGGCTTAGTCCTTTCGCCATTCGCAATTCCCCGAACGCTCATTCGCATTCGCCTGCATTCATTCGCCATTCACCATTCACCGCGAGCTCCGAGCGAATCGTTCCGTTCCGTTCGATACATATTCATGAGTGCACTCGCATTCACGGCCCACAAAAATGCTCGCCGATTCGCCGGGGAATCGTTTTTATGCCCCCAAGTCAAGCAAACTCTCCTTATTTTCATTCTATTTTTTTGGCGATATATATATATATATATATGTGTATATATATATGTATAGGAAGGTATGTATGTGTGGGTGTAAAAGTTTTGCTAAAAATTTGCTGGTTGCTGACAGCAACGACAACAAGGATTCGACTACCCCACATTTCGCTGCCAAATCCACTTTCTCCGCCAGCCAGCAGCGCCTCCTTGTCCCTCCTGTCACTGCTTACTTCACTCCTTACTTCCTCGCCCACCCACTCGCCGCTTCAACTTTTCTTGTCACTTTTATTGCTTTTCGGCTGCACTCCCCCGTAATCCATCCTCCTCGTAAGCCCCTCGCATCCCAAAAAAGGAAAAAAAAAGTAGAAGGAGAACCCAAAAACCGAAAAAGGAAAAAATGTCACCCCCTCGTGACCTCGGCTTTAATTTCATTTCGCTGCCCTTGCGTTTTCGGCTGTTGATTGCGTCGAAAAGCGTTGCTGGCTGGCTGTGGACTTTAGAGGGGGCGGCGTTTGGATGTCTAAAGACGCCCTCGATCCGAGGTCGCATCCCCCGACCCCATTACCCCCCCTCCCCCCCTTTATACCCCCTAACCAGGGGGGTAGGTTGTGCCACCCCCTCAAGCGTGCGAGGGCAAAAGTGGAGCGCTCGACTCGGGCCAGATCCAATTAGGCGCCGCGTTGTCAGCCTCGATGTCGCTACATGTCGTTGAACCCGCCCCGCCCCCCTTCAGTCGCCCCGCTACACTCAGAAAAAAAGAAATTGGGGCTAAATGCATCAGCTAACTAACCCCGAACGGGAAGGGATTTCATTTAAGCTCACATTTTGTAGGCCAACACATTTCGTTTACCATTAAGGAAACCAAACCAATACTTGATCGTTAGCTTGAGTAAGAAATCAGTTAATAACTTTTGAGGGATTCAAATTTATCTGAACTTATTATGATATGATCATTTTACACCATAAATTAAGGATACTAGAAGTATACTTTTTCGTAACTCTTATTAATAAAAGCAATTAATCAAATGGTGGTACAATATCTTTAGTTTTATATCAAAGTGAAATAACCAAATATTCCCATTTCAGTTCTTTAAACTCTTTTTCGTCCAGTGTAACGGGGTTTCCACTGCATGTGGGCGAAGGGTTGAAGCGGGGGCGTTTTTCCGAGTTGGAGCAACTACCGTGCGTTTTCCGAGCTTCAAGTTTCTGACTTTTAATCTCATTTGTGCGCGCTAGTGTGTGTCTCTCTATGTGTGTGTGTGTGCGTGTCCATGTGTGTGTGCCTTTCGTTTGTGTCATTCATTTCCGCGACCCCTTGAACACCCCCCTTGGTCAACATTCCTCTCATAAGTCTTGACATGCCGTGTCAGTCGAGCGCCTCTTAAAGTCTGGGCAATTGCGATTCCGATTGGGTTTATGTCCGCCCCGGAGAAAGTGGGCGAGAAGGGCGGAGAAAGAAGGCGGGGCAGGGGGGTGGGGGTGTGCTTAAAGGGGGCAGACATCGAACACCGCCCCTTTGACACATGCAAATGCCCGTAATCGAGTAGCAAGCTGTTAACGGTGGCTTCGCAGGTGTCCATTATTGTCCGTTGTCCGTTGTCCGTTGTCCTTTGTCCGTTGTCCGTTGTCCGTTGTCCGTTGTCCGTTGCCTCTTGTCCGTAGTTTGTTGTCCGTTGTCGAGTGCTTGTGCAACATTATTAACCTTAATTAGCCATTAATAGGTCTTGCCGATCAAATACGACAGGTAAGAGGCCAAATCGAACGTTTAAATGAGGGTATACTCAATGTAAGAGGCATTTAAAGGGAAAAAATTCAAGAAATTTAATACCACATTTGAACACCTGTTAGAGATTTTCAAGTCGCAGAAAAAACAGCTTCCCACAGTTTCAAAAAAGCCTATAAATAATTCACTTTGCGGTGGGCCGCGCACTTTGCAAATTATATTTAATATTTAAACCCCATTTGGCGGGTAAAAAATTGTGTGTGTGTCTAGTTTACTGGAAAATAAAAACAGGATTGTGCGTTTACTGTCATTTTGCGCATTTGCTCTGGTTTTTTTTTTCTTTTTTTCTGTTTGTCTATTTGAAGAGTGCATAAACATTTCAACAAAGTTCTGTTGTTCAGTTGTTAACTTTTATATTCTGCTGCAACGAGTGGCATGGGTGTAAACTTTTATTGGCTAAATAAACCCTTATCACCACCTTAATTACACGAAATGTGTTTGTTGGCTGGTGTTTTGTTGTGCGGGCTTTAAATATCACACAGAATCCGTAAAAAACATAAATGCAAAGTGCGGTAAACTGAATTTTTTTTTGGTGAGCTGCTAATATTAATTACAATTTAGATCGTTTAATAAAGAAACTACTTTATGCCAGTTGATTGCCAATTATAAGGCAGTTAAGTCCACGGGGAACCTAATCAATTAAGAAGCGGCCTTTTTATTTTTCATGTCTGGGAAAATGCATAATGCATATAGAGGGCATCGTCCCGTCGAGTTTGCTTGTTTTTATACTTTTTGCTTTTTTGAGCCGAGCTTCTTGTTGCGCTGCTCGTGTGGCACTTCACACATTTCAAGAGGAGCGGGGGAGGGAAAACTTCTCTGGCTCTGCCAGGGAATCTTGAATAGCACTGTCGGAATAAAAAAAGTGAAAAAAAGTTGGGGTTCTGGGTGCAGGAGGGCTTTAATTGCCCGCAAGCAAATCGATAAACAATAAACCAGAGTGCACTCAAATTGCAGAAACCACGTGAGAAGTGCCTGCAACATGCGGCAACCGAGTACGACAATATATGTTGGCTGGTTTCCCACTTTTCCCGCTTTTCCCATTTCACCCAGCCTTTCCAGCGGCTGTCAAACTGCAGGTGGAACCACCAGAATCCGTGCAATCGTTGGATTTCAATTGGCAGCGGGAGGCGAAACCGCAAATCGCAGCTCTGCGAAACTTTTCCGCGGATTGGATACGCGTTTCCCAATTCACACAGTAGCCATAATTGAAATACAATTTTTGGCCAGCTTTCGCAAAAGTATCTGCACTTTGCAGCCTGTATTCTCAAATACAGCATTAAATAAATATATATTTGGAATACAAACTATTACAAATGCCATTTCCGATTACTTTGCAAATAATTCGTAGATATTTCATTAAGGAAAAAAACACCATAGTTAAATCTCTTCCGGTTTTTGTTCAATGGAGGCCAGGTAAAAAAAGGCAAATTGGTTGCCAATTTTTGTTATTTTTGTTGCTTTTTTTTTTTTTTTTTTTTGGCCCTGGCCTTTAACCAAACACACTGAACCGAAATAATCACAAGGAAAATATGATGGCAAAAAGCAAAGAGCAGCAAGAAATAATTAAATAAAATAACAATGGACCCGAGCGAATCTATTTGTGAGTTTCGCAATTAAAGTTTAATTTAAATTGCCACCGAATGTGGCCAGAAAAGGGTATCCATCGTTTCGAATGGCTCGAATGGCCGTTGAATAAGTAACACCTTGTGGGAGACACACTAATTGGCCATTAAATGATTAACATTATAATGCAAATATGTGGATTTAAAATATACTCCAATGAGAGATATCTTGCCAACTTAATTGCAGCGAACTCTGTCGGCTGTTGTGGATGGAAACATATGTATTTCCACCTGACAGAAATATACGATATATATGCTATAATTATTGTGATTATATTTTGGCCTTCTTCGCTGACTGTTTGTTGTTGTTGTTGTTTTGCGGCTCAATCGCTTCTTATTTTTTTTGTATTAATTTTGATGTGAGCGAAACCCGTTTCGCTGAGCAGAAGATTCCGCTTTATATTGCATTATCTGCGAGAGACACAAAGATATAAATACTACTGAGAAGATACTAAGATACTGAGATACTGAGATACTAAGATACTGAGATACTGAAATACAGGTGAGGAGGTATTGTTATTGTTTGTCTCCGGCTTTATCTACGAATCATGTGCACACTGGTTATGTAACCGCACATTCGAGTATCGCATTACTCGTCGCCGGCATTGGCACTTGGCACTTGGACTTGGAAAAGCGGG